TTTTTTTTTTTTTTTTTTTTTGGAGACGGAGTTTCACTCTTGTTACCCAGGCTGGAGTGCAATGGCACGATCTCGGCTCACCGCAACCTCCGCCTCCTGGGTTCAGGCAATTCTTCTGCCTCAGCCTCCTGAGTAGCTGGGATTACAGGCACGCACCACCATGCCCAGCTAATTTTTTGTAGTTTTAGTAGAGACGGGGTTTCACCATGTTGACCAGGATGGTCTCGATCTCTTGACCTCGTGATCCACCCGCCTCAGCCTCCCAAAGTGCTGGGATTACAGGCTTGAGCCACCGCGCCCGGCCAGTAGTTTTGTATTCTTAGTAGAGATGGGGTTTTGCCATGTTGGCCAGGCTGGTCTCAAACTCCTGACTTCAAGTGATCCGCTTGCCTCAGACTCCCAGAGTGCCGAGATTACAGACATGAGTCACTGTACCCAGCCCCATCTGTTTTTAAATTTTCTTTTTATATTTTAAAAAGTATCTTCTGAGGTTATAATCTTTCCTGCTATTCTAGTGTGAGATAGGTAATACTATAGAAATTCTGGCTCTACCATTTATCTAATAATTTGACCTTTGGCCAAATATGTAATATCTATGAAACTGTTTTCTGACCTGTAAAATAGGAATATACCTGCCCTGCCTCTTTCTTATGGATCTTGTCAATCAAATTAGAAAATATACAATAGCTAAAGTTTATCAAGCTTTTACCATGGTCTTAGGTGGTGTTCCAAGTGCTTTACATGTATGATCTCGTTTAATCTTCACACCAACCCTATAATGGAAGTAATCCTTTTATAGTTGAGGAAAACTGAAATAAATTGCCTAAAATTTTATGGCTAGTACATAGCAGAACTGGGAATTGAACTCTCCTTACTAACTCTAGAGCTGGGCTCTTAACCAGTGTATGCTATTACTAATGCTCCTTGTAAACTATAAAATACCGTATAACTGTATAGTATGTTCTTAGTTTGCAAAATTGATTACTGACCCACCATTGCCCTTAACATCAGTAGTCTGGTGACCTCTCATATATGGAGCACACAAATCTTTGCTTCATCCTTCCATTCCCTTCCCAAACTTCCCATTACTACTTTGTAGAAATTCATGACTAGACAAAGGTTTTATATTTAGTGGTTTCTCCTTCTAGGGGTTTCACAGACCAGCTGCGTAAGATTTCTAAGGATGCAGGGATGCCCATCCAGGGCCAGCCATGCTTCTGCAAATATGCACAGGGGGCAGACAGCGTAGAGCCCATGTTCCGGCATCTCAAGAACACATATTCTGGCCTACAGCTTATTATCGTCATCCTGCCAGGGAAGACACCAGTGTATGGTAAGGATATCTTAAGACTGCATTTTTCCTCAAATCCTTTTAGGATTATGCTTAAACATGTCCTAAAACTTTCAAATGTTAAAATATATTTTATGATACAGTATTTAAAACCATGTATTATTATTTGAAGACAAATCAATATAGCAAACTAAATAGTCCAAGATGAGATGCTATGAAAAGAGTTTCAGGCCGGGCGTGATGGCTCACGCCTATAATCCCAGCACTTTGGGAGGCCGAGACGGGTGGATCACGAGGTCAAGAGATTGAGACCATCCTAGTCAACATGGTGAAACCCCATCTCTACTAAAAATACAAAAATTAGCTGGGCATGGTGGCACACCCCTGTAGTCCCCGCTACTCACTCGGGAGGCTGAGACAGGAGAATTGCTTGAACCCAGGAGACAGAGGTTGTGGTGAGCCAAGATCGCGCCATTGCACTCCAGCCTGGGTAACAAGAGCGAAACTCCATCTCAAAAAAAAAAAAAAAAAAGAAAGAAAGAAAGAAAAGAGTTTCAGTAGTGAAAAGAGGCATCACATGACAATGGCTAAGGGAAGAATTATTTAGTAAAAATGGCATTGAGCTAATTTGAGTATCAGTATAATGTAGTGGTTACAAGCATAGGCTATCAAATTAAACTGTGTTGCCTGATATTCGGGTACTGCCAGTTGTACTACCTGTGTGATTTGGCTGAATTACTTAATAATACTAACCCTTAGTTTCCTCATCTCTGGAATTGGGATACTATTTATGTATGTATATAGTATGTATGTATGTTTAGGATAGGATCTCACTCAGTCTTTCAGGCTGGAGTGCAGTCGTGCGATCATGGCTCACTGCAGCCTTGACCTCTTGGGCTCAAACAATCCTCCTGCATTGGCCTCCCAAGTAGCTGGAACTTCAGGCATGTGCCACCACACTGGGCTAATTTTTTATTTTTTGTAGGACAGGATCTCACTGTGTTTCTTGGGTTGGCCTTGAACTCCTGGGCTCAAGCAATCCTCAAACCTTGGCCTCCCAAAGTGCTGGGATTACAGATGTGAGTCACTGTGCCCAGCCTCTTTCTGGTTTTAATTGAGCATTTTATATGATTATATTTTCCTTCCTCTTTTAGTATATCAGTTATACTTCCTTTATATATAACACACATACCCTGGGATACTAATAATACCTAATCTGCATATAGGGTAGTTGTAAGGATTAACTGAGCCTACATATGTAAAGGATCTAGAATAGCACCTTTCATATAGTAAACAGTAAATTTTAACTTTCTATAAACAAAATTTTGTGAGATTAATAAGTTAAACATTGTCATTGAATCATAGAAAAATACAAGGAAAATATAATGTTCAAACAACTGAATGGGGTAAAATTATGTAAGTTTAGAAATAGTAGAAGAAATCACAAAAGAAAATTGTTAGATTTGACTGAGTAAACATTAAATTTTCATTCCTTTTTCTCTTTTTTTTTTGAGATGGAGTCTCACTCTGTTGCCCAGGCTGGAGTGCAGTGGCGTGATCTCAGCTCACTGAAACCTCCGCCTCCTGGTTTCATGCTATTCTCTTGCCTCAGCCTCCCTAGTAGCTGGGACTACAGGCTCATGCCACCATGCCCAGCTAATTTTTGTATTTTTAGTAGAGACGGGGTTTCACCATGTTAGGGTGGTCTTGAACTCCTGACCTCATGTGATCCACCCACCTCGGCCTCCCAAAGTGCTGGGATTACAGGTATAAGCCACCATGTCCGGCTCCTAAATTTTCTGTGTGTCACAGATGTACTAAAATGAAAAGAAAACCAATAGAGTATGGAAAATATTTGTAGCAAATAGAAACAATAAACAAATAGTTTATTATTAGTTAAATAAAAACTTCATTTTTTTAGATTAATAGTTTATTATTAGTTAAATAAAAACTTCATTTTTTTAGATTAATGTGAAAAGAATATAAACTGAAATTTCTCTAGTAAAAACAAACAAATATATGAGAAAATGTTTGTTTTTATTTGTAGTTAAAGAAAAATACAGGCCAGATGTGGTAGCTTATGCCTGTAATCCCAGCATTTTGAGATAAGTTTTAGGTGAAAAGATTACTTGAGTCCGGAAATTTGAGACTAGTCTGGGCAACATGGCAAAACATCATATCTGCAATAAAAAATAAAAAAATTAGCCAGGCATGGTAGTCCACACTGTGGTCCTAGCTACTTGGGAGGCTGAGGTAGGAGGATTGCTTGAGCCCAGTAGGTGGAGGTTGCAGTGAGCCAAGATCATGCCACTGAATTCTAGCCTGGGCAACAGAGTGAGACCCTTTATCAAAAAAGAAAAGAAAAGAACAAATTAGTAAAGGGAAAAATTTTATGCTACTACATTAGCAAATATATTTAAATATTGTAATACCTAGTGCTTGTGGGCATACAGTATATTAATGCATTGCTTATAGTAGTATAAATTTATATTACCCTTTTCATCAAAACTGTAAACGTGCCTGGGCTGGTCTTGAACTCCTTGTCTCAAGTGATCCTCCCACCTCAGTCTCCTTAAGTGCTGGGATTACAGGCACAAACCACTGCTTCTGGCCCCTCTGGTTTTAATTGAACATTTCGTGTAATTCTATTTTCCATTCTCTTTTAGCATATTAATTAGACTTCCTTTAAAAATTTTTGTAGTGTTTTCCCTAGACTTTTTAATATCTATTTACAACTAATCTAAGTGTACTTTCAAGTAATACTATACCACTTAATAGATAGTGCAGAGATACCTTGTAACAGAATACTCCCAATTTTTCCCTTGTGTACCTTATATTTCTGTCATTTATTTTACTTACTGATAAACTATAACTACCCAATACACTGTTGCTATTACTGTTTTGAACAAATAATCTTCTATTAGGTCAAGTAAGATCATGAAAATACAAAATTTTATTTTACCTTTGTTTGCTGACCTTGCTCCTTTTATTTTGTTTTGTTTTTTAGAGACAGGTCTTGCTATGTTGCCCATGCTGGAGTTGAGTGGCTGTTGCCAGGCATGACCATAGTGCACTGCAGCCCCAAACTGCTGGGCTCAAGTGCTTTTCCCACCTCAACTTCCCCAGTAGCTGGGACTATAGGCGTACCCCACACCGTACCCTGCTTTTCCTTCATTTACGATTTCTGATCTGTATCATTTTGTTTCTCTCTGGAAAATTCTTTTAATATTTCTTGCTAAGCATTTCTACCAGCACTAAATACCCTCAGTTTTTATTTGTTTGAGAAAATCTTTATTTTTCTTTTTCTTTTTTTTTTTTTGTTTTGAGACACATAATGATTTAATGTTTACTTACAAATCCTTTACTCACGTAATTTCAAGTACTAAGTCATTCTGGAATTCATACATTCTGACATTAAGAACATTCACATGTTGTACAGCCATCATCAGCATCCATTTCCAGAATTTTTTCAGCATCCCAAACTGAAACTCTTTATCCATTAAACAACAACTTCCCGTACCACCTCACCCGACCCCTGGAAAGCACTGTTCTACTTTCTGCTTCTATGAATTGGACTATTCTAGTTTCCTTGTGTACATGAATCCTATAATATTTGGCCTTTAGCATCATATCCTCAAGGTTCATCCATGTTATATTATATATCAGAATTTTCTTCCTTTTTCAGGCTGAATAATATTCTATTGTATATATATACTACATTTTGTTTATTCATTTATCTGTTGATGGACATGTGGGTTGCTTCTACATTTTAGCTATTGTGAGTGATGCTGCTATGAACATAGGTGTACAAGTATCTCTTCATAACCCCACTTTCAGTTATTTTGGGTATACATCTAAGTGGCATTGCTGCATCATATGGAAATTCTATTTTTAATTTTCTGAGGAACCTCCACAGTGTTTTCCACAGCGGCTGCACCATTTTACATGCCCACCAACACTGCACAAGAGTTCCAATTTCTCCACGTCCTTGCCAGTGTTTGTTATTTTCTGGCTTTTTGATCCTAATCGGTGTGAAGCAGTATCTCATAATGTTTTTGATTTTGTGTTTTCCTAATGATTAGAGATTTTTGGCATCTTTTCCTGTGCTTATGGGTCATTTTTCTGTTTATCTTCTTTAGAGAAATATGTATTGTCATTTGCCCTTTTTTTTTAAGGAGTGCAATGACATGATCATAGCTCACTGCAACCTCCATCTCCTGGGCCCATGTAATCCTCCTACCTCAGCCTTCTGAGTAGCCAAGACTAAAAGCACGTACCATCATGCCTGGCTAATATTTTTTAAAATTTTGGTAGAGACAGGGTCTTGATTTGTTGCCTAGGCTGATCTCTAACTCCTGGGCTCAAGCAATCCTCCCACCTCAGCCTCCCAAAGTGCTGGGATTACAGATGTGAGACATTGCACTCATCCTTGTATGTTTCTTATATATAAGAATTTATGGCCGGGTGCGGTGGCTCAAGCCTGTAATCCCAGCACTTTGGGAGGCCGAGGCGGGTGGATCACGAGGTCAAGAGATCGAGACCATCCTGGTCAACGTGGTGAAACCCCGTCTCTACTAAAAATATACAAAAAATTAGCTGGGCATGGTGGCACGTGCCTGTAATCCCAGCTACTCAGGAGGCTGAGGCAGGAGAATTGCCTGAACCCAGGAGGCGGAGGTTGCGGTGAGCCGAGATCGCGCCATTGCACTCCAGCCTGGGAAAAAAGAGCAAACTTTCGTCTCAAAAAAAAAAAAAAAAAAAAGAATTTATGCTGGGCACAATAGCTCACGCCCGTAATCTCAGCACTCAGGTGGCTCACCTGATTCAGGAGTTCAAGACCAGCCTGCGCAACATGGCAAGACCCCATCTCTACTAAAAATGCAAAAATTCCCCAGGCAAGGTGGTACGCACCTATAATTCCAGCTACTCTGGAGGCTGAGGCAGGAGAATCACTTGAACTCCGGAAGTAAATGTTGCAGTGAGCTGAGATCACACCACTGCACTCCAGCCTGGGCAACAGAATGAGACTCCATCTCAAAAAAAAAAAAAAAAAAGAAAGAAAGAAATTATGGCTGCGTGCAATGGGAGACTGGGGAAGGAGGATTACTGAGCCCCGGAGTTTGAGACCAGCCTGGGCAAAATGTGGGGACTCGTCTTTTCTTAAAAAAAAAAAAAAGAAGATTGGTGTGGTGGTGCATGACTGTAGTTCCAGCCACTCAGGAGGCTGAGGCAAGAGGATCACTTTAGCTCAGGAGGTCAAGAGTGCAGTGATCCATGATAGTGCCACTGCACTCCAGCCTAGGTGGCAGCATGAGATACTCTCAAAAAAAAAAAAAAAAGTTATGTACACTGAAATATTTATGATGGTTATAATGGCAAAGGAGGGGAAAGGAACAGGAACTTTTATTCTTTGCGCTGTAATACCTCTGAATTTTTAAATTAAACATAAGAAAATAGGATTGAAAGCTGTAAGTGTACTGTGATTACAAGTACGTTAAAATAATATAAATGAGAAAATTACTGGAAGAGTACTATAAAACAATAATGGATTATATACATTTTTCTCTTTATGCTTTTCAGTTATTGTAGTTACACTGTGGTCGCAATATACCTTTTTATACAAAGGAGAAAACAACTAGAAAAGTTGTCACTAAATACTAAAGCTAATCTTCAAAGCAGTATACTTTCGAATTTAACAGCATCGCCTTAGGACTACTGTATTGGCATTACTTTTGGTATTCTGTAGTACAATGATGTATTTTAAGGGGGAAACATAGTAGCTTTATTTTCAGGTCTTTTTTTCTGACTAGAGGTTTTGCATCTGTTCCACAGCGGAAGTGAAACGTGTAGGAGACACACTTTTGGGTATGGCTACACAATGTGTTCAAGTCAAGAATGTAATAAAAACATCTCCTCAAACTCTCTCAAACTTGTGCCTAAAGATAAATGTTAAACTTGGAGGGATCAATAATATTCTTGTACCTCATCAAAGGTAAGATATGCTAATTGCTTGTGAAAATATTATTTTTATATCTTCATTTGTCTATATATGACCATCTGTAACTACTATAAGAATTGTGAGAGAGACACCCTTAATAATTCCTACTGTGGGAGATTCATAGACATTTTAGTAAAAAAATAAAATAATTTGGATTGGCAAAGTTCAGAGATTCTCTTGTGAAAGTGCCCTCCAACAATTTCATTTTATTTTATTTTTGAAGGAAGGAATGAAGCAACAAAAGCAGAGGTTTATTGAAAATGAAAGTACACTCCGCAGGATGGGAGTGGGCCCCAGCATAGGGGCCCAAGCCCCAACAATTTACATTTAGTATGCAAAGTACCTCTTAGCCAGAAAGTATCCAGAGCTTTATTTCTTACGGAGAGCCCAGCTTGAAGAATTTTCAGTTTATTTGGTAGTCATCTTCAACCTGGTTTCATGAGGCTTCTCACTTACCTGGAACGTGAAGGAGAGAAGGGCTGGGGGCCCAGATTAGTCAATTAAGTAAGACATATTAGCCTTCCTGCTGTAGTCAGTGAGACAACATATTACTGTTAGGTCACCCCTATTAGAGCTGGAATCTTAGGACGTATGAGACATCATGACCTAGAAACAGGAGGTAGCTTATTGTGCAAGTCACTGAGGAAGAGGCCAATTTTCAGAGAATTGAACAAGCTCTCTTTTCATAGTTGAAGGAATTAGGCCTCAAAAAAGTTAAGTATACACCACAGATAAACATTAGAACAAGGACTGGCCCATGTTTGTTTGACACAAAAGTCCTATTATTCCTCTTTTTCCATACCACCTCTACTTTCTACCCCCGTTAAATATGAGATGAGATCTGTAAATGAGGTAAATATAGAATTTTATCAACGAGCCCAACATGGTGAAACCTCATCTCTACAAAAAATAGAAAGATTAGCCATGTGTGGTGGCACACGCCTGTTGTTGCAGCTACTCCAAAGGCTGAGGTGGGAGGATTACCTGAGCCCAAGAACGTCAAGGCTGCAGTGAACCGTGATCACGCCACTGCACTCCGGCCTGGGCAACACAGTGAGACCCTGTCTCAAAAAAAATAAACAAAACAATAACAACATAAAATAAAATAAAAGGAAATGCTAGCTACTTTATGATTATTGAATATATGTTACTCATCTTTATACTTTTTTGGCCAGGGAGTTGGAGTAGTGGAGTCCCAAAATCCCTTCCAGTCTAAAGTGTAATGACTCCTTTTTTCCTTAAGAAACATAAGTTTACAATACAAGCCGATTTTTAAAGAGTGATAAAAATTTGTAGATCATGATAATGAAGTTTATAATTTTTTTGCCCATCATAGAGAATACTAGCATCTGTTGCCCTTTTCAACCACTAGCACAACTATTTTAGGCAAAATTCTGCTTGGAATAAGACTTTGGATTACATAGGACTTCCTCTGTGCTGTCAATAAGTTTAAGTAATATTGTAATTGTGTGAAACAGATAAATGGATAATGAAAAAATGAGATATCTAACTCTTTTTAAAAATGTGTTTAAGACCTTCTGTGTTCCAGCAACCAGTGATCTTTTTGGGAGCCGATGTCACTCATCCACCTGCTGGTGATGGGAAGAAGCCTTCTATTGCTGCTGTGAGTGTTAGCCAGGTTTATCTTATCTAAAGTTTACAGACCAGTATCAATTTTGCAGTTTCAACTTTTTGAATTTTAACATTTTCTTTGTAGCCAACTTTCATAAATGTTCTTTGGGTTTTTGAAAAGAATGATTATTCTCTGGTTTAGGGTTTACAGGTTCCATATGTGTATATTATATCAAGTTTCCTAGTTATATTATTCAAATCTTCTGTATTCTACTTTAATTTGTCTACTTGACCTCTCCATGATTATGCATTTTAGTTACTTTTTGTTGTTTGAGTAGTTTGTTTGTATATTTCAGTAATGTCTTCGTCGTAAAGAGATGCATTACATATAAGCTTGGTGGATTACATTTTTTTACATGTAAAATGTCTTCCACCTTCATCCAATTCAATACTTTGCACCTGAATTCTTTATTTTATTTATTTTATTTTTTTCAGACAGAGTCTCACTTTTGTTGCCTAGGCTGTAGTAAGACTCTGTCTCAAAAAAAAAAAAATAAAGATTTAATATTTTTTCTATGATCCATTATAATCTTTACATAAATCTTAAGTCTTATAAATCTGATAAATCTAATTCATCCCTGAAAATGATAGTAATATTTAAATTTTCACTTAAAAATTTTAAAGCTGCCAAAACCTAAAATGCAATAAAATAAATAAATGGGAAAAAAAAAAAAAAACCCACAGGGAAAAAAAAAAAATTTTAAAGCTGTTTTCATTAATAAAGGAAATTAACTTTTATCTATTCTGTTGCTTTGTATTTTTAATGTTATACATGAATTATTTTCTTTAAATCTTCAGTAGTTATATTGAGTCATCTCTAATATTCATTAAAATGTTCTTATAGAAGATAAAATGGTAAAGAAAGGAACTCAAAAGATTTCTTTGGATTTGCTACTTTGGGGTCATTTTCTAAGAAGGTTTAAAGCATATTTTAATTCCTTTGGGACTTCTGGTAGTCATTGTCTTTTTCTACTAAATCCATTTCCACCAAATACCCACTTTCTTTTATGGTTATCAGAAGTCTTGTAAATAGAATTTATTTGTTGATTGTTTTTTGCTATATGGCTTCCATTCCCAAGAACTTAGAGAGTAGTGTGAGAAACTAATGTAAGTAATGAGTGCCACATAGTATAATAGGTGTTATCATGAAAACGAGATAACAACATTTACGTTGCAAGAACCTGGTGTGTTTTGGGAATATTGAGAAATACAAGGAGTTGGAACATAGTATACTGCAGGCTATAAGGCTAGAAAGCTTTTGTGAGGCATTTTGCTCCATCCAAGGGGTATGGATTTATTCTTAGCAGCGAGATACCTTTCAAGGGAAAGAAATGGTCAAAGTTCCATTTTTGAAGCATGACTTTGATATAGGTTACCTGGAAGAGAGTCTGGAGGCAATGACCAGCCTAGACTCTGATCAGAATAATGTCATAAGTTCATGCTTTAAGGTCTCTTCTCTAAAGACATAACAATATTAGACACAGAAAGAGAAAATTAATATAGCCAATTTCAAAACCAAGATTAACTTCTCTGAGGACCAAATACAGAGCACAAATACAGCTCAATACGACTGAGCATAGATTCAAGCCAAAAGGGAAAATTCTGATTTTAAAATTTATGAAGCATAACAGTTCTAAGATGAAGCTAAAATCTTAAGTATGGCTTCTAAGATAGGTTGCTAAAGTGAAAGAGATAGGAAGAAAAATCAGTGGTTTGAACTGGTCTTCATTTTTACTTGTTTCCTTTCTCTTATTCTCTTATGCACATCTTTTTGTCTTTTTCTTTTCTCACTAATCCTTAAGTATACCAACAACACAAAGAATCTAATTGTTAAGTGTATAGTTCAGCCTAGTTATAGGAAAATAGTTTTTTATCCTATACTAGCGTTTTGTTCTATTGTTCACTGGGAAGTACTGTTTTTCTTTAAATCTTTTAAAGAGATGGGTTAGGCTGGGCACAGTGGCTCACACCTGTGATCCCAGCACTTTGGGAGGCCGAGGCAGGCAGATCACAAGGTCAAGAGATCGAGACTATCCTGGCCAATATGGTGAAATCCCATCTCTACTAAAAATACAAAAATTAGCTGGGTGTGGTGGCACGTCCCTGTAGTCCCAGCTACTCAAGAGGCTGAGGCAGGAGCATTGCTTGAACCCAGGAGGCGGAGGTTGCGGTGAGCTGAGATCGTGCCACTGCACTCCAGCCTGGCAACAGAGCGAGACTCTGTCTCAAAAAAAATAAAAGGAGAGAGAGAGAGACAGACGGAGATGGAGTCTTGCTATTTTGCCCAGGCTGGCCTCAAATTCATAGGCACAAGTGATCCTCCTACCTCAGCTTCCTGAGTAACTGGGACTACAGGCACATGCCATTGTATCCAACTCAGAATTGCTGTTTTTGATTACTCTCAAAGTAAAGTGATAAATGTAAGGCTACAGTAAAATAAAAATGTAAATTAAATTCATGTAATTTTGATTATCTTTCTTTTTTTCTTTTCCTTTTTTTTTTTTTTTTTTTTTTTTTTACTTTTTCCAACCTAGGTTGTAGGTAGTATGGATGCCCACCCAAGCAGATACTGTGCCACAGTAAGAGTTCAGAGACCCCGACAGGAGATCATCCAGGACTTGGCCTCCATGGTCCGGGAACTTCTTATTCAGTTTTATAAGTCAACTCGGTTCAAGCCTACTCGTATCATCTTTTATCGGGATGGTGTTTCAGAGGGGCAGTTTAGGCAGGTTGGTTGCCTAGAATCTCATCAGACTATGGTGAAATCAGATATTGTGTTTATAATGTGGTGTCTAGTTCTGGAGCTAAAAAGCTTGTTAGAGTTCCCAAGTCAAAACTCGGTATTTTCTTAGATTTTTTTTTTTTAAATGTTCATTGTGAATGTGTATGCCTTGCTTGCTAAGACCATGTTCTGCTAATCGTTAACATGGAATCAAGAAGCGTATTAGTTATAGCGCGATGAGATTAAGGAATCCTGAGATTAGATCATTATTCTGTTTTGAAGTATATAAAAACAAATAGCTGACTGTATTGAATCTTTCCATGTTATATTCTGTAGGTATTATATTATGAACTACTAGCAATTCGAGAAGCCTGCATCAGTTTGGAGAAAGACTATCAACCTGGAATAACCTACATTGTAGTTCAGAAGAGACATCATACTCGATTATTTTGTGCTGATAGGACAGAAAGGGTAATCTCACCTCTGTTGTGATACTATTATAAACCAAGCTTATTCAACAGAGTTCATAGAGCACTCAACAAGGGCCCTCTGCCAATAACAGGGTTTCCAGTATATAGTAGCAGATTTGAACAATTACTTTATGAGTATGGAAATAGATTATTTTTAACTTAACAGAATTTCTAGTCACGCTCCAAATGTCCAAAATCTCATTCTACTTTTTTGTTGTGAAGAAACTGATAGTTTTAAAAATATTCTTCTATTCATATTTTCCTAAAATCTTCAGGAAAAAAGGTACATTCTCTTTTTAAAATATCTTGTACAAATTAGTTTTTTTAAAAAGCAGAAATTCAGGCCAGGTGCAGTGGCTCACGTCTGTAATTCCAGCACCCTGGGAGACCAAGGCAGGCAGATTGCCTGAGGTCAGGAATTCAAGACTTGCCTGGCCAACATGGTGAAACCCTGTCTCTACTAAAAATACAAAAGTTCGCTGGGCATGGTGGTGCACATCTGTAATCCCAGCTACTTGGGAGGTTGAGGCGGGAGAATCGCTTGAACCCAGGAGGCAGAGGAGAGGTTGCAGTGAGCCAAGATGGTGCCACTGTACTCCAGCCTTGGCAACAGAGCAAGACTCCCTCTCAAAAAAAAAAAAAAAGTGGAAATTTATACAAACTAACTTTTAAGCCATGTTTCCTTTAAAGTTCACAGAATTATTTTATGCATTTTATAATGTGAATGTATGTGTTTTATAATTAGGAAAGAGAGATATAAATACTTAAGGAAATATGTTTTTTTTATCTGTATGCAGCAAGACAGCAGCCTTACTGTCATTTTCAGTGCTCTGATCCCATCTGCCCTCATCCTGCAAATCTTGGAGCAGAGAAATCTAGTGATACCAGGTGTTAAGAAAGGGATTTGATAGAAAGGAACTAAGGAGTGTTTTGTCTTTGGCATACATACTCACTGTACTCCTTTGGGCAAGCCGCTTAACACCTCTGTGCCTGTTTATTTCTTAGCAAGATTGGATAATATTGATATTATTCAACCTTATATGGGTTGTTGGGAGAATTAAATAAAATACGCAATGTGCTTAGAACAGGGTTTGGCCCATACTAAGGACTCGGTAAAGTTTGGCTAGTTCTCATTAGTAGAGTGATGGGAACAAAAAAAAAAATTAATAAATAAAGTTTGGCTAGCCGTAGAGTGGTGGTGATAGTGGTAGTAATAGAGAAGAAGAAGTAATAATAGTAGACATTGTTCCAAGTATTGCTTATAAATTTAATAATCCTCACCAACGACATTATGAGGTAGTTTTGTTTTGTTTTGTTTTGGTTTTTATTTCTGTTTCTGTTTTTGTGACAGTTTAACTCTGCTGCCCAGGCTGGAGTGCAGTGGCATGATCTCTGCTCACTGCAACCTCCACCTCTCAGGTTCAAGCGATTCTCCTGCCTCAGCCTCCTGAGTAGCTGGGAATACAGCATGTGCCACCACACCTGGCTGATTTTTGTATTTTTGTTAAAGACACGGTTTCACCATGTTGGCCAGGCTGGTCACAAACTCCTGTCCTCAAGTGATCCACCCACTTCAGCCTCCCAAAGTGCTGGGATTGTAGGTGTGAGCCATCACACCCAGCCTACAACTTTTTGTATGTATTAATTAGAAGATTTATGTGTTGCTAATTTATTAGAGTTAAGTATTTTTTTAACAGTTGGCATAATTTTGTAGATTATAAACTGTTTTGTTTTGTGCTTGGTAAAGTGTAGCTAGTTGTTCCATACGGCTACGATTCAAGATACCACCTTGTAACAGTCACTCGCATGGCAAAAATAATATCTGAGTCAGTAAAATAGTTTCTGATTTGCTAGCCTTGTAAACCTAGACTTACAGTTAAGAATTTTAAATGTGTTGGGATATGGCAGTGGAGGCGGGTATAATAAGCATTTTTAAGTCTTTTATAAGGAGCTTGCATTATCAAGAATTTTGAGTCATTTCAGTTATATACACTCAGAGAAAATCATGGTATCTGTTCTAGATGTTGAAACTGATAGTATGAAATAAAAGGAATAAGGCCTTTGCAATTTATTTCATTATTTGAATCTCAATTCTCCCCTTTGTTGTGTGCTATTGAGCGAATCATTTTGTTATTCCTGAGCCTTTATTTTGCTAAACAAATGGAAATAATCCCTAGCTTGCAGGATTGTTACCAGGATTTAGAAATAATGTGTTAAAAGTTGTCTCCAAGGTAAATGCTCATCCTCATGTATCACACACTCAAGAATGCCTACTATGCACAGGTACCATAAACTGCAGCACTTTAAGCTAATTTAAAAAAAATTTTTTTTTAGTGTCTTTGCCCGTATGACTATTAGCGAAGCATGTAATAGAGACTATATAAGGCTTTGTTGTGTATCAGCATTCCCTTTCAGCAACATTTAGGAACAGGAACCAGGACCTGCATAAGGTCTGCTCTGAATGATTGCTTAAGTTATATTTCAAAGTGAAAGTAGTAAACGTAGGATCGGCCTATATATGCATACATTTTTTAAAGTGCTTTCAGATACATTTTTTACCTTTTTCTTGTTTGTTTAAACTTTGGCCAAACAAATCTAGGTTGGAAGAAGTGGCAATATCCCAGCTGGAACAACAGTTGATACAGACATTACACACCCATATGAGTTTGATTTTTATCTCTGTAGCCATGCTGGAATACAGGTAAGTCTACACTTTGGGTAAAATATTTTAATACAAGAACTGTCATTCTTACATGTATTTTTTTAAATCTAAGAAAAAAGATAAAGAAATACTCTTTGCATTCCAACTTGTTTCCATATGAAATTAAATGAAACTTTCAGTAAACAAATGCCTTCCCTTTCCTTACCTTGAGAGGGGCTTAGGAACTTATTTTTATGAAAATACCAGACTATAAGTAGCTTAATAGAATGCATTTCCCTAAAACAGGCCCTTAATTTACCTAAAATTGTTTTTTAAAAAATGTAGAAATAGCCGGGCGCGGTGGCTCAAGCCTGTAATCCCAGCACTTTGGGAGGCAGAGGCAGGTGGATCACGAGGTCAAGAGATCGAGACCATCCTGGTCAACATGGTAAAACGCTGTCTCTACTAAAAATACAAAAAATTAGCTGGGCATGGTAGTGTGTGCCTGTAATCCCAGCTACTCAGGAGGCTGAGGCAGGAGAATTGCCTGAACCCAGGAGGCGGAGGTTGTGGTGAGCCGAGATCGTGCCATTGCACTCCAGCCTGGGTAACATGAGTGAAACTCCATCTCAAAAAAAAAAAAAATGTAGAAGTACCTGATTGTTCCTTTAGCATATGCCTCTTTAAAAATAAAGAGTGAGAAAAAAAAATGCTCTTTTGCTCAGGCTGGACTAGAACTCTTGAGCTCAAGCAGTCAGTCCTCCCACCTCAGCTCTCAAGTAGCTGGGACAACAGGCATGTACCATTGCACTCAGCTAATGATGGTAACATTTTATAGAAAACTTTGACATTTACTGGTAGGTATTAAGCATGTGAAAGAGTTTAATTGGGCTGGGTGTGGTAGCTCATGCCTAAAATCTCAACACTTTGGGAGGCTGAGATGGGCAGATTGCTTGAGCTTAGGAGTTCAAGACCAGCCTGGGCAACATAGAGAAACCCCATCTCTACAAAAAAACAAAAATTCCCCAGGCAAGGTAACATGTGCCTATAGAGGAACTATATAGCTGGAGTATGTTTTGCTCTGGGGGCAAGTAGCCATGACCCCTTTATCGTTGAGGCTGTCACCAAATTACCCCAACCCAGTGGCCTGACATCCCTGTTGAGCTGCAAGCACCTGTTACACCTTGCTCCTTGGCCACTTAAAGAGGTTATACCTTGGCCGGGCATGGTGGTTCACACCTGAAATCCCAGCACTTTGGAAGGACAAGGAGGGCAGATCACCTGAGGTCAGTTCAAGAACAGCCTGGCCAACATGACAAAACCCCATCTCTACTAAAAATACAAAAAACTTAGCCAGATATGGTGGCACACACGCCTGTAGTCCTAGTTGCTCTGGAGGCTAAGGCAAGAGAATTGCTTGAACTCGGGTGGCGGAGGTTGGCAGTGAACAGAGGTCACACCACTGCACTCCAGCCTGGGCAACAGAGGGAAACTCTATCTCTAAAAAAAATAAATAAAAGAGAGAGAGATCATACCTCTCCAGTGCCTAAGTAGTACCTTGCATCTCAGAAAGCAGTGCCTTAATCACCCAGAGCAGTCACACAGTCCAGTACCTAAGCTGAAGCAGTTCCCTGCATATCAAGGAAACCATGTCTGGGCCACCCAGAACAGGCATAGTCCCCATGCCTGGGTTTAAGTGGCACTGGGGAATTGGTGCACTGGAAGAGCTGAGCAGCTCTGTATCCCATAGATATTGGGATAGCCCAAATATATTGAGATATAAGAAAATATCAATAGACCACTCAACAAAATCAGGAAAGTAATTCACAATATGAACAAGAAATTCAACAAAAAGATAGAAATTTAAAAAGAATCAAACAGAAATCTGCAGCTGAAGAATTCAGTGGAAAATACAATAGAGAACTTCAATAGCAGATTTGATCAAGCAGAAGAAAGAATCTCTGACCCTGAAGATAGGTAATTTGGAAAAAGATCTGAGTCAGAAAAAAAAAAAAAAAGAAGAAGAAGAATGAAAAGAGTGAAGAGAGCCTCTGAGACTTATGGAACACCAGTAAGCAAATAAATATTTGTATTATGGGAGTTCCAGAAGGAGAATAGAAAGGGAAAGTGTAGAAAATCTACTTAATGACATAACAAGTCGAGCATGGTAGCTTACACCTGTAATCCCAACACTTTGGGAGGCCAAGGGGGGGCAGATTGCTTTAGCTCAGGAGTTTGAAACCAGCCAGGGCAACACGGTGAAACACCGTCACTACAAAAAATACAAATATTAGCCAGGCATGGTGGCATGCACCTGTAGTCCCAGCTACTCAGTGGGCTGAGGCAGGAGGATCACTTGAGCCTGGGAGGTCAAAGCTGCAGCAAGCCTAGATCACACCACTATACTCTAGCCTGGGGTGACAGAGTGAGACCCTGTCTCAAAAATAATAATAATAATAATTAAAAACATCCCAAATCTGGGGAAAAATGTGGACATGTAGATCTAGGAGGTTCAAAAGTCTGCAAACAGACCCAGCCCTTAAAGGTTCTTCCCAAGGCACATTGTAGTCCAGTTGTCAAGTCAAAGACACAGAATTCTAAAAACAACAGAAAATCATCAGATCACTTAGAATCCTCGTTAAACCAACAGCAGATTTCTTCCCAGAAACCTTATAGACCTGGAGAGATTGAGTTGATATATTCAAAGTGCTGAAAGAAAACACTTATCAGTCAAGAATACTGTAGCCAGTTAAGTATCATTTGAGCTCAGAAGGCAGAGGTTCCAGTGAACTGTGGTTGTGCCACCGTACTCCAGCCTGGACTACAGATTGAGACCGCCTCAACAAATAAGTAAATAAATAAATATTCTTTAAATAAATAAACAAGTATTCTATATCCAGCCAAGCTATCCTGTAGAAATGAAGGAGAAATAGTCTTTCCCAGACATGCAAAAACTGAGGAAATTTATCACCACTATATTTGCCCTACAGGAAGTGTTCAAGGGAATCCTACATCTGGAGGCAAAAAGTCAACAATTGTTATTATGGAAACACACAACAGTATAAAACTCACTGGTAGAACAGATACACAAGAGAGAAAGATTCAAACCTTATTACTCTACAGAAAACCACCAACCCACAATGATAAACAGTAAGAAAGGAAGAAAGGATATATAAAACAAGCAGAAAACAATTAACAGATTACAGAAGTAGGTCTCCAGCTATCAGTAGTATCCTTGAATGTAAACACATTGCCCACTGAAAAGATGTAGACTGGCTAAATGAAATTTTTTCCCACTCTGGTGCCCAGGCTGGAGTGCAGTGGTGCAGTCTCAACTCACTGCAACCTCTGCCTCCCAGGCTCGGGCTCAGGCAATTTTCTTGTCCCAGCCTCCTGAGTGACTGGGGCTATAGGCATGCATCACCACACCTGGCTAATTTTTGTATTTTTGTAGATGGGGTATCCCTATGTTTCCCAGGCTGGTCTTGAACTCCAGAGCTCAAGCAAACCACCTGCCTCATCCTTCCAAAGTGCTGGGATTATAGACATGAGCCACCATTCCCAGCCACTGAATGATTTTTTTAAAAGAATGCAATCATGTCCTTTGCAGCAACATAGATGCAGCTGAAGGTCATAATCCTAAGCAAACTAACATAGGAACAGAAAACCAAATACTGCATGCTCTCACTTCTAAGTGGGACCTAAGCATTGAGCACACATGGACATAAACATGAGAATAATAAAACACTGTGGACTACTAAAGAGGAGGGAGAGGGGGATGAGTTGAAAAACTATTGAGTACTAAGCTCACCATCTGGGTGTAATATATCCATGTAACAAATCTCACATGTACCCCTCACATCTAAAATACTGATTTTTTAAATGATCCAAATATATGCTGCCTAAGAGAAATTCACTTCACCTGTAAAGATACATATAAACTAAAAGTGAAGGGATGGAGAAAGTTATTCATTCCACGCAAGTGGAAAAAAAAATGCAAGCAGAAGTAGCTATATTTATGTCAGACAAAACAGACTTTAAGTCAAAAACTGTAAAAGGAGACAAAGAAGGTCATTATATAATGCTAAAGGGATCAGTTCACCACAAGGAAATAACAGTTGTAAATATATATGCAGCCGACATTGGAGCATCCAGATATATAATATAAAGCAAGTATTATTAGATCTAAAGAGAGAGATGGACTCCAATACAATAATAGTTGCGGACTTCAACACCCCACTGTCAACACTGGACAGATCATCTAGAAAGAAAATCAACAAAGAAACATTGGATTTAAAACACACTTTAGACCAAATGGACCTAACAGATATATACAAAGCATTTCATCTAGCAGCTGCAGAATATACATTATTTTCTCAAGACTCTTGAGACTGTCTCAAAAAAACAACAACAAGGTATTAATACCCAGGATACACAAGGAACTCAACAGCAAAAAAAAAAAAACAAATAATTTGATTTAAAAATGGGCAGATGTCTCAAGAGAGTGATAGAGATGGCCAACAGGTATATGAAAAAATGCTCGATGGCCGGGCGCGGTGGCTCACGCCTGTAATCCCAGCACTTTGGGAGACCGAGGCAGGCAGATCACGAGGTCAAGAGATCGAGACCATCCTGGCCAACATGGTGAAACCCCGTCTCTACTAAAAAATACAAAAGTTAGCTGGGCATGGTGGCACGCGCCTGTAGTCCCAGCTACTCAGGAGGCTGAGGCAGGAGAATTCCTTGAACCTGGGAGGCGGAGGTTTCAGTGAGCCTAGATCATGCCACTGCACTCCAGCCAGGTGCCTGGTGACAGAGCAAGACTCTGTGTCAAAAAAAAACAAACAAACTGCTCAATATCAATAATCATCAGGGAAATGCCAGTTAAAATCACAATAAGATATCATCTCACCCTAATTAATATAGTCATTATCAAAAACACAAAGAATGCAGAGAAAGGGGAACTTGTATACACTATTGGTGGGGATCTAAATTAGTACAGCCGTTATGGAAATCAGTATGGAAGTTCCTTAGAAAACTAAAATTAAAACTACCATATGATCCAGCCATCCCACTACTGGGTATATATGCAAAGGAAAGGAAACTGTGTCAAGGAGATATGTGCAACCCCACGTTTATTGCAGTACTGTTGCAATAGCCAAGATATGGGATCAACCTAAGTGTCCATCAACAGATAAATGGATAAAGAAAATATGGCATTTATACACAACGGACTACTATTCAGCCACAAAAAAGAATGAAATCCTGTCGTTTCTGGCAACATGGATGAGCCCGGAGGACATTATGTTATGTGAAAAAAGCCAAGCACGGAGAGATGAATACTGTATCATCTCACTGGTGGAAGCTATAAAAGTGTATGTCATAGAAGTAGAGAATAACATAGTGGTTTACTAGAGGCAAAAAAGGGAGGAGGTTACCAAAGGCTGGTTAACAGACACAAAATTACAACTAGATAGGAGGAATAAGTTCTAATATTCTATAGCACTGTAGGATGGTTATAATTAGCAATTTATTCTATATTTTCAAATAACCAGGAGAGCCAGTTTGGAATTTTCCCAGCACAATGTTTGAGGTGTAGATATCCTGATTACCCTGATTTAATCATTATATATGTGTATCAAAATATTACACTGTACCTCATAAGCATATGTAAATATTATGTGTCCATGAAAAATAATAAAATCCCAAAAAGGAGTTGGAGATCAGCCTGGGCAACATGGCAAAACCTCATCTCTATAAAAAATACAAAAATTAGCGGGGTGCGGTGGCGCGTGCCTGTACTCCCAGCTACTCTGGAGACTGAGGGAAGGATCACCTGAGCCTGGGAGGTCGAGATTGCAGACCCTGTCTCTAAATAAATTAATAAATAAATCCTATATGACTGGTTTATATATTTTAACCTAATGTTTCCTCTCATATTTAATAAGTATCACATTACATCCAGGTGACTATATTTTAAAAATCACAGAGGAGAAAGATTCTCTGTTCAAGTAAGTTTTAGAAATGCTGTTAAACAGATTTTTTTTTCTATTTCTAGAATAACCAGTTTAAACAGATTTTTTTATTATAGAACTTTTGAAGAACACTGATATGCAAATAACCATTATGAATCTTCGAGATAGGAATATTTTTCCTATATATTTAACCAGAAACTTTAGGGAACAGTTTTCCTTTACCTTTTTAACTTTTAAAATTTTTATTATTTTTATTTTTTTGAGACAGAGCCTTGCTCTGTCACCCAGGCTGGAGTGCAGTGGCGCAATCTCAGCTCACTGCAACCTCTGTCTCACGGGTTCAAGTGATTCTCCTGCTTCACCTTCCCAAGTAGTTGATACTACAGGCATGCACCACCACACCTGGCTCATTTTTTTTGTACTTTTAGTAGAGAGGGTGTTTCACCATGTTGGCCAGGCTGGTCTTGAACTGACGTCAAGTGATTCACCTGCCTTGTCATCCCGGGATTACAGGTGTGAGCCACCACATCTGGCCTATTTTTGTTTTATTTATTTGAGACAGGGTCTTGCTCTGTCATCTAGGCTGGAGTGTAGTGGCACGAACACCCCTTACTGCAGCTTTGACTTCCTGAGCTCAAGCAATCTTCCTGCCTCAGCCTCCCAACTAGCTGGGACTACTGGTCCATGCCACCATGCCTGGCTTTTTTTTGTTTGTTTGTTTGTCTGTTTGTTTTTTGCAACAGAATCTCGCTCTGTCGCCAGGCTAAAGTGCAGTGGTGCAATCTCAGCACGATGCAACCTCTGATTCCCTGTTTCAAGCAATTCTCCTGCCTCAGCCTCCCAAGTAGCTGGGATTACAGGTACACACCACCACATCCAGCTAATTTTTGTATTTTTAGTAGAGACAGGGTGTCACCATTTTGGCCAAGATGGTCTCAATCTGATCTTGTGATCCACCTGCTGTGGTCTCCCAAAATGCTGGGATTACAGGCATGAACCACCTCCCCCAGCCCACACCTGGCTAATTTTTTAAATCTTTTTTGTAGAGATGAGGTCCTCCTATGTTGCCTAGGCTAGTCACAAATTCCTGGGCTTGAGCTGTCCTCCCACCTCAGCCTCCAAAGTGCTGAGATTATAGGAATGAGCCACCATGGCTGGCCTGAATAGTTTTCCTTTAGGATATCAGTTTAAAACTTCTGCCGTAGTCAGCAAATAACCAAGAATATTTCACAGAGACTAACAACTTTTTTATACATCTTCCCAGCTTTACTTTTTTCTATTTTATTTCATTTAATTTATTTATTTATTGAGACAAAGTCTCACTGTGTCACCGAGGCTGGAGTGCAGTGGTGCAGTCACAGCTCACTGCAGCCTTGACCTCCTAGGCACAAGTGATCCTCCTGCCTGTACAGGCTGGTCTTGAACTCCTGGCCTCAAGCTACCCTCCCACCTCGACCTCCCAAAGTGCCAAAGCTGTTTTGTATGTGACTTGGTCTTAAATATTTATTTAAAAGTTCAAAATTCAGCTGGGCCCAGTAGCTCACACCTGTAATTCCAGCACTTTGGGAGGCCAAGGCAGGCAGATCATTTGGGGTCGGGGGTTTGAGACCAACCTGGCCAACATGACAAAACCCTGTCTCTACTAAAAATAGAAAAAATTAGCTGGATGTGGTGGCACATGCCTGTAATCCCAGCTACTGGGGAGGCTGAGGCATGAGAATCACTTGAACCCAGGAGGTGGAGGTTGCAGTGAGCTAATATCATGCCATTGCACTCCAGCCTGGGCGACAGAGCAAGACTCTGTCTCAAAAAACAAAACAAAACAAAAAAAGTTCAAAATTCAACAGCATGTGTTATTGCCTTCTCTATAGGGTACCAGTCGTCCTTCACACTATCATGTTTTATGGGATGATAACTGCTTTACTGCAGATGAACTTCAGCTGCTAACTTACCAGCTCTGCCACACTTACGTACGCTGTACACGATCTGTTTCTATACCTGCACCAGCGTATTATGCTCACCTGGTAGCATTTAGAGCCAGATATCATCTTGTGGACAAAGAACATGACAGGTAATATAAAAGCCTAACAGGTTCTCACCCAAATCCAGATACTGTCTGCATATTAGGATTTTCAAGTTCCACAAGCTCTTAGAGGAGTCAGTGATCCATGTGAAAAGTGACAACAGTCAGAACTGACTGCTCGAGGTTTCCTATTGAAATATATAATCTAGGCTCATTACTAATAGAATGACGTCGTAACTTAGTTGCTTTGCCACATTAATTCAAAGGAGAGATTATTGGTAATAAAGTGGTACATACAGATAGATAGAGAAAATGATACGATGTCTGGGTTTGCTTCTAATTAATCCTGGGGAGGCGAGAGAAGGAAAACAGAATTGGCCTTGCGTTAATAATTATTGAAGCTGAGTGATAGCCACATAGATCATTACACCGGTCTCTTATTTGTTAATAATTTTGAATTTTTCTACAACAAATCGTATTTTTTGGAATTATTGCATCAGAATAGAAAGTTTGTTTTTGTGTTCATTGCCACTTCTCTTACAGTGCTGAAGGAAGTCACGTTTCAGGACAGAGCAATGGGCGAGATCCACAAGCTCTTGCCAAGGCTGTACAGATTCACCAAGATACCTTACGCACAATGTACTTTGCTTAAATAGTCCAAGTATATTCTCTGAGAGGAAGTACTGAAAGATGAATTGACATACAACGTATGTTTCCAGTGGAGTCAATTGAGTAAGGACACCTCCAGCCATACAGAAACCCAACACTGTGTGGGGGCCAAGGTCTGATCCTTATGTTAATACAAGGAAGATTGTTTACTTCATCAAGGAACACAGCATCATTATGCAATATGAAACCAGCCAACTGCTTTTTGTGCGGTCTCCTGTAGGAAGTATCGCAATTGTTCTGTTTTCATTTCTTGTAGTCTAACCCTTTTTAATGCCTTTACCTCAAGTTGCTTGGCAGCACAACTATCTTTGCAAAAAAAAAAAAAGTAAGGAAAAGTAAATGATGGTTTAAAAAATACACACCTTCATGAATAATCAAAGTGATTTTTCAAAATTATGTGTGCAAAAAATTAATGTGCATTCACATATTCTTGTAAAAGGTGTCTGTGTATTTTAAAAATATATACATGCATACTTCATATGCATATATATCTAGATCTGGATTAATAATAGATATATATGTCTGTGTATATATTTTATAGTTCATTCCATTGGGGAGCTTTCTTTCCCTTTTATTTTACCCCCACTTACCACCTTTATTTCTCTTATTTCCCTTGCCTTCATCACCTACATTTTTTTCCTAATGCTACCAGTGACATTCAAATGTTCACATATCTGGTTCCTTTGAATGTAAAATATGGCAAACTAGATTTCTACTTTTATTTTGCATACCCTACTTCTGACTCCTATCTCATACACAATTCTGAGTCTTCAACTCTTGGTATTGCTGTCTTAAGAAACAAAATTTTATATATATGTATACATTCGTATATACACAGACACACACACACATATATATACATAAAATAAGTTTTTGTGAGAGTGTGTCTCTCCCTTCCCACTCTGAACATACATTTGCCATTTGTGCAATGTGTATATAAGTAGTAGCAACCTAAACTATTCTTTTTCTTTTTTCTTTATTTTCTTTTTTAATCGATACGGAGTCTCACTCTGTTGCCAGGCTGCAGTACAGTGGTGCGATCTCGGCTCACTGCAACCTCCAACTCCCCAGTTCAAGCAATTCTCATGCCTCAGCCTTCCAAGTAGCTGGGACTACAGGCATGCGCCACCACACCCAGCTAATTTTTGTATTTTTAGTAGAGACAGGGTTTCACCATGTTGGCCAGGATCGTCTCGATCTCTTGACCTCGTGATCCGCCCGCCTCGGCCTCCCAAAGTGCTGGGATTACAGGCGTAAGCCATTGCACCCAGCCTACCATTCTTTTTCTTTAGTGAGTTTGTTAAAGCTGCTATAAATATAAAACCTGTCAGAAGTTGTAATCTTTCTCTCTGATAAGTGATGTGTTTTCTGAAGCCTTCTGTTTCTATAGGTTATACATGGAAATTATTTAAAGCTTTTATAAAGGGTAAATATTTTAAAAGATTAGAACTCTGTAGGGTTGAGATCTTTGAAATTGAGTAGAGAGAAAGAAGGGGTTGAGGGATTTTTTTGGTTTTTGATAGTTACTTGCTGCCTCTCATACCTTAATGTGATTTTCATATATATTTTTTATATATATGTATGTGTGTGTATATAAACACATATGTATGTGTTTGGAAGTATAGCTTCCTTTTCTTTTATATTTATTAGAATAGTGCTTTAACAATTATAGAATTGTGTTGGCAGCATCTTTTACAGAAATATAATCACGTTTATTTTAAGAACTGACAACTTGTTTTTGCTATCTTTTAGTGCAATAAGCAGTTTTAAAGGAAAGTCGTGTCTGTTTGCATCTTTACCATGGATAGGAGGAGGAGCAGGCACCTTCATAATTTAAAAAGGCAAAGAATACAGCCTTAATTTCAGAAGGAAAGTTTTGTAATTTTTAGTTTTAAAGCATATCTTTTAAAAATCATCATGAATAAAGGCTGGGTGCAGTAACTCATGCCTGTAGTCCTAGCACTCTGGGAGGCCAAGACAGGTGGATCACCTGAGCTCAGGAGTTCAAGACCAGCCTGGCCAACATGGTAAAACCCCGTCTCTACTAAAAATACAAAAATTAGCTGGACATGGTAGCAGGCACCTCTAATCCCAGCTACTCAGGAGACTGAGGCAGGGGAATTGCTTGAACCCAGGACTTGTAAGTTGCAGTGAGCCAAGATCGCACCATTGCACTCCAGTCTGGGAGACAAAAGCAAATCTCTGTCTCAAAAAAAAAAAAATGATAATGAAAATGAAGTGAAATTGCCTAAATGAGTCCAACCTTGCATATTAGACATAAAGCTGAATTTTTATTTAAGAAATAATCATGAACAGCTTAGCATATTTAAATTATTTGCAAATAGATTGTGTTTGTTGAAGAATCATACTGGCTAGATGCCCATTTTCATTTACTAAAATGAATCAGAAAAATGCAAAATGATATTTTAAAACTTTTGCTAATGTATCACCAGTGTAACTTTCCTTTTAAAATTAAGGTGATAGTAACAAAGGAAGGTAGGACTTTAATCATTTTAAATCGGTTAAATCACTGAAATGTGGGAAATTGTTTCACAAAACTTTTATTGATTACACTTTAAGGTATTAAAAAGTACTATAATGCTATCAAAACCGAGTTTATCAGTAACATTGGATTCAGGGGAGCTTTGCACTTTGTAACTCATGAAAATTGCATTTTAATTTTTTTCCTTTTTTTGCACTGTTCAGAGTATAGATACTACAGATTGTTTCCAATGGGCATTGTTCTTAGCCTTTCAGAATTCCATCTGCACATGAAACCTAATGGATTTAGATCTTTAGTTTCTCTCTTACCTGTAATCCACTATTATTGCCAGTTCACTGTATGTTGAGCCTAAAATCTGAGCCTATGTCCTCCGACAGGCATGAAATCTTTTATCCCTCTGCCAGAAAACTAAGAAAGTACTGTATTTTGTATGTTTATTACTTTGAAGTGTCTGAAATGCAATTTACAACACTGTTGCAAAGAACTTTACAAATGGTAATATTTGTATAGTATATACATTGTTTTCTCCCAGCCTTCTCCTATCTCCTCCAAAAAAATTTCCCATAAAAGATGGGGTTTTTTTACACTGAAATTTTACTGAATACAGTCAGGATAATGGGCAAGAAAAGAAAATAGTATACCCTTTCTCTGTGTATTCTTTTACCTAATTTTCAGTTACTCATATATGCTAGAGTGGAGCCCTTAATTTAAATCTATTTGAAAGGACTTTTTTAAGAGGAAAAATATTTTTTCTAAATTATAAAGCTTTACCTTTTGAGTGATTTCTTTTTTAGAGTGGTCTTACTCTAGTTCAGCATTGCTAATTTAACATTGATTAATGTCAAAGAATATGTACATTATATTTCTATTTTGCTTACTAACAAATTGGTATATTTATTACCATTGGTTCTTAATTACAAGAAAACTTGTGTTTAGGATTTTAAGTTAAAAGGCTAAGTGACAAATACTTCTTGAAATTTGTTCTATTTATTGTTGCACTTCTGGTATACAATTTCTAATCTTTTTTGTTTAAAAAAAATTTTTTTTAAGTTAAACATGAAACTCACAGTGACCCTTCTGCTCCTGCCCTTGCTCACTAACTATATGATGAATGCTAAATTTTGGTCTCCTTTTTTCTATGATGTATCTTACAAGAGTGACTGTAAAACGTCAGTCTTGGCAACTAGATAATTGATTTTCATATGAAGAAGAGTTGGGAGTTTAATGTATATCCTTGATGGCTAATGTATCTATGTAAAGTGCTGATACGTGTATTATATTACAGTATCAGGTTACTGGCATGGAGGACCATTCACTTAAAATATTGTAGCTGCTATATTTATTTAAGTAGAGTCTGACTGTTACTGCACTAAACAATAAGGAGATAAGCAGGATTTAAGGCTAGCGTTACACCCTTTTTTTCCTAAGAGTAAGGACAGGAAATATCAAAGTAACAAAGGGTGCTGCCATTTTTAGTTTCAGTTTAATATCAGGATATTCTTTGTTTTAGAAATGTAGATTTTGACTTTTACGGTTTGCAAAGGGGTACCTCAGCCTCCCAGTACTGGTTTTGGCACGTTTTTACGGAAATATAGATTCCCTTTCTTTTTCCTAATAGTTACCTTCTAACAGGTTTCTTGGAAAAAAATATTATTCTATGGGAAATCCCTGTTTATAACCTATTAATATATTTTTCTTCCTAGGAGAGAGTCTAGTAGAGATTCTAGTAGGAATGGCTGTTTTGGAAGGTACTTGATAGAGGCATCTCTGCTTCCCAGCACAGTTCTCAGCGTTCTAAAGATCTAGATCAGTTTCCAAGCTAGCTTCTCCACAACCCACCACTGCCTAGTGTTTACTTGTGTATTCTCTAATGGATTTTAGGAGGACAGACCTTCTGACAGACAGAGTCATGAAAGACTTAAGGCATGTCTAGAGAAATAAAAGCTGACTTGCCCTTTAGGAGGAATGACTGGCAGAGGATCTCACTATTCAAGAAAAGGGTGAGCACTAAGCGTGCTATTGATGGATCCGAAGTATTTAGATGGATTGCAGACCAAGAGTTAGAGACCATTTGTTACTCAAGGAACTTGATGGATCTGTTTAGAGACTAACGTGAATTTTCCAAGGGCAGTGATTTAATGAAATTCAAGAAGCAAACAACTTGGATACAGCTAGAATATATTGTAGTCTTCCTATTTCCAATTCGATTTTAATATTTTACCGAGAAGTTTAACTGACAACTCTGCAAAGTTTTCACTCAGTATCATTTAACCTCAGTTAAATGTTTGCTTAGCTTATCCTCTTAGGTATTCTTCTGTTGAACAGGCAGGTTGCCCTTAACAGTCACTTGCTACTTAAATTACCTTTTATTAGTTAGTCAAGCTGCAAAAAGACATCATTAGTCTGGCATCTTTATTTTGGCTTTTTTATTCATATGAAGTATTCATTATTTTCATTATTTTTGAGAATCCATAAATGTCTTAAAGCTTCAGTAAGAATTGTTGGAAGGCTTGACATCAGGTACAGCCTTCCTGAGTAGCAGTATAACCCTAATTTAGAACCCTTGTTTTCTATTTCAGTCCTCATATTTAATCAGACAAAAGCACTTTTGTGATTCTATAGGAGTCAAAAAATAAGCCAAGAATACATATGTAAGTACAGAAATCAGAAAGTGAGAATTTTCTCCAAAAAAATCTTTTTTAAAAATTCCTGTTTATGCTAAGAACATTTTTGATCAGTTGCAATGTTACAAATAATACTGTGATTAGTGAAAGCCAATCTGAGTCCCAGGATGCAGGGAGGGGAGTGTGTGTGTGTGTGTGTATGTATGTATGTATGTGTATATATATATAATCTCACACACACAAAGGGAAAAACTATCTTGACTTTTTTTCTGCTTTTAAAATGGTACATTTAAGTTTATAATTTTCCATTTCACTCAACATAATTTTTTAAACTAAGATATAATGGTCAAGGCTTGCGCTTATATTGTCTACTACTCATTGAAATTTATATTACTTTACCCATCAAAACTAGTACTTCAGATGTTTACATCATTGATTAAATCTCAGAATCTTTTGTTCTTAAAATATGGAAGTTAAAGATTTTAATTTGAATTAAAGATAGAAGGATGGTAAATTCAATGTAGAAGTTGAGATTTATCAGTGAGAAACCCTGTTGGGAGTATCAGGTAAACAGTGGGAC